TTTTACTAGTATCTAACCTAAACCTGCCCTAATAGAGTTTCATGCCATTCCCTTGGGTCCTGTCACTGGTCACTGGAGAGGAGATCAGTGCCTGACCTTCTACTTCTCTTCATGAGGAAGCTGTAGACTGTAATGATGTCTCCCCTCAATCTCCTCTTCTTCAGGCTGAACAGACCAAGTGACCTCCGCTGCTCCTCATACAGTTTCCCCTCAAGGCCCTTCACCATCTTTGTAGATATCCCTTGGACACTTTCTAATAGTTTTATATCCTTGTTATATTGTGACACCCAAAACTGAACACAGTTCTAAAGGTGAGACTGCACCAGTGCAGAGCAGAGTGGGACAATCCCCACCCTCAATCAGCTGGCGATGCTTTGCCTGATGCCCTCTAGGACATGGTTGGCCCTCCTGGCTGCCAGGGCATTGGTGACTCATATTCAACTTGCCATTGATCAGGACCCCTAGGTCCCTTTCCATGGCACTGCTTTCCAGCATCTCATTCCCCAGTCTGTAAAACCATTCAGAGTTGTTCCATCCCAGGTGCAGAATCTGTCACTTTTCCTTGTTGAATTTCATATGGTTGGTGATTGCCCAGTCCTCGACTTTGTCGACGTCCCTCTACAGGGCCTCCCTTCCCATGAGGGAGTGAACAGCTCCTCCCAATTTTGTATCATCAGCAAATTTAGTATTCTTTTGATCCTACATTCAAGTAATTTATGAAGATGTTGAAGAGCAGAGGGCCTAAGATGGAGCCCTGTGGAACCCCACTAGTGACAGGTCACCAGTCTGATGTTACCCCATTCACTATAACTCTTTGTGCTCAAGCCAGTTGCTCACCCACCACATGATTTGTTTATCCAGCTGTTTGCTGGACATTTTGTCCAGAAGAATACTGTGAGAGGCAGTATCAAAAGCTTTACTGAAATCCAAAATCCAAAAAGACTAAATCAGTTCGCTTCCCTTGATCAACTAGATGTGTTACCTTGTCATCATAGGAAATCAGGTTTGACAAGCAGGACTTTCTCCTCATAAGCATGCTGGCTGTGTTGTCTTTCAGGTGTTTTTCAATAGGTCACAGAATAATCTTCAAAATTTTACCAATCACAGAATAATCTGGAATGCTTAGATGAAAATGCGTACTTTTCATATGTTTATTTCATATTTTCACATACACAGCTTCAGATGTGGTATTTAGAAATGACTCAGAGCAATTCAGAGCTGTTGACTTATGGATAGGTCAAATAAAAGAAAGGTAGAAGAGAGCAGAGATGAAGTATAGAACTGTCAGGACTTACTTGAATTCTTGAAAAAATACTAGAGAAAATGTGAAGATGAACTATTTGCAAGCCTCTGAAGCTAACAAAAATATAATGGTCACTAGATAACACAAATTTCTCAAGAGTAAAATGTCTGAAACCATTGTAATTTCTGTTGTTAGGTGGTAATAAACCTTTGGCATAAGGAAGAAGTAGGTTATGCATATCTTGAGTTCATTAGCATTTTTATAAGGAAACATAGGGAACACTGTCTCAGAGAAACTACCACAGAACAACATGTAACTCACTACAGGGGAACCTCAGCTGCGGTGCCTGGAGCACCTCCTCCCCCTCCTTCACTGACCTTGTGGTCAGCAAAACTGTTCTCCTCACATATTTTCACTCCTCTGAGCACCATTACACCTGGTAACTTTTCTTCCTCTTAAATATTATCACAGAGGCCACCTCTGATTGGCTTGGCATTGCCCAGCAGGGGGTCTGTCCTGGAGCTGGCTGGCATTGGCTTTGTTGGACGTGGGGGAAGCTTCGAGCAGCTTCTGATAGAAGCCATCTCTGTAGCTCCCCTGCTACCAAAACGTGGCCATGCAAACCCAATACACATGCAAAGGTGATGATTTTTTTTTTTTATGCTGTTAATGGTGGCACATTTTTTAAAATTTTTATATTCTGTAAAATTTTTGCAATAAGAACAATTTTTATGCTTGAAATTCTAGAGGACCCAAGGAAAAGTAGGATTTCATTCTTATAGGTGCTGAATAACAAAAACAGTAGTAATCAGTCTATTCCAAAAGTTAAATTAATAAAATGGCTTGTATGTAATTATTGTCACATCCAGTATAAAAAAGGAGAGATTAATAACCCGTTAGTATGCATGAATCTTAATGATATTGAATTAAATTCTGTCATTTCTTTCTTTCAATCTGTTTAAGCTTTTCCTAGATGTAATTTTAACAGGAACTATATAACTTTTTTCCCAGAAGTAGTATTTGTTCAATACCAGTGAATGAATGCATATCAAATCCTGCTGCCTCTGACAATAACCCTTAATGTGAAGTTTCTGTTAATAGCTTCAGATGTACCTGCCATCTAGAATATAAGGAGCCATGTAGTGAAATTGCCATGAATCACTGTGTGGCTGGACTATGTCAGAATGGATCACAATGCAATGATCTCCCTAGAGAGCTTGTGTCATAGTCTGACTAGTAAAAACCACCTTTGTCAGGAGTCATTTGGATTTGTCAGAAAGAAATGTCTCAAGACTGTAAATGGGGCATTTCTGGAAAAAAATTAAAAAATTAAACTGTTGCTAAATTTCCATTTTCTAAATTTATGAAGTAAATGGGTATCTGTAGCAGAAAAATAATTTCTTTTTATAAGAAATAGTGTATTCTTAAGTTCTGCATCTGAATCTGTTTAGATGAGAAACTTTACTCAAAACCAGATGTTAAATATCAAAACTGAGCCATGAACCCACCACCCTTTGTTCTTCAACTTAGTATAATAACTTCAGGTATATTTGTATGAGTTGCAATACTTTGATAATTAATTCAAGGCACAGAAATAAAAACATACATAGATTAATAACTTTATTTCAAGTCTGTAAAATTATTATGAATATTCATTTTTATTTTGTCAAAGACAAAAAGGTGTTAGCTTTCCTATATTCATTATCTCTACTTAGATGATAGTCACATAATCACATGTAACAGCTATACATATATCTATCTGTGTATAGCTATAACCATCATTGATCAATGTTTCCATTTTACTACTTTATCATAATTTTTTATATTAGTTATATGTAGTACTTCAGTAAGCAGATGTTAACAGCTATTTGAAAAGGCAAAAATGAGAGAGACTTAAATTTTTAATAGCAGTCAACAGGAAGGAAAACTTCAGCTGTGTGAGAATGTTGCACAGCTGGTGTTCAGGGTGAAATTGAAACAGCTTGAAGACACCTTTCTGCATCTTCTGATTTAGAAACCAAAGTGACTGCATGTGTATGGCAGTTTTAATATGCATTGTCTTGTATTTATGCCTCAAAGGGTTGTTCTACAAGCCAGAATTTCTAAAGTGCAGCATGTTCCAGCAATCTACCCTGATGGTCAGAAGTTTCTATCTTACCTCTTGTAACAAGATGTTCAAAAATTAAAAAAATCTTCCAGATCAGGAGCTCTTCAGTCATGCCCTAACGGCACAGTTTACATTTCCTTTAGTTTGAAGACTATGCTATGCTAGTTCCAAGCAGGACTGAACTTTGAAAATTTTGTAATATTTTTTTACTCTGAATTCACACTTAATAAATGCTATTAAAACAAGGTTGTGTTTGGTTTTTAAAGCTATCACATTATACTGTAGGAATACAGATTTTTTTTGAACATCTTTGACCAAAGAGTCTTCCTTTTTTTCCTTTTTGTCTAAAATATTGATGAATACAGAGTCAGGTATGGGGCAACTCGATGGCGTGCTAAAATCTGTTCTGGCAATACCTGTGCTACTGAAGCATGGTATTACTTTATAAATATTTTTTAAAATTAAATGTGAAGTTCAGATCTTCAGCCAGACTTGGCTTGTAAGACATTGCAATTAACGATGCTTAGCTCACTGAACCAAATCTCTGGTTTAAATCTGTAGAGGCTTTCCATGCTGCACTTGTTAAATTATAATAAATTGGTCCAGTCTATTTTGATATTTGTTGTACAAAAGATACTTAGAAAATTTTTAAGTACTCAGTTAATAGGAGACCAGAAAATTATACTTCTTATACTTTAAGTCACTGAGGGTTTATGACTAAAGTAACAAAAGAAGTGTCTAAAATTTGAAACTTCACAGTTATATTCAGAACTTGGATACTAGTGCCACACACATGGATTGATTTTTCAATTGTTTTATATCAATTAATTACTTTTATTTTGTTTGAATTTTTTTTCAGTGAAACGAATATATACTTGCAATTTTTTATTGTGTGTGTTCAAAAATAAAGGAGCTGTTATCAATGAAAATTATGATTTTTCTTACTGGATGATGGCTTCAGAAACTATATCATGGCCAATATACCTAAAGTGTAAAATGTAGTTTAATGTTTTATCTTTGCAATTTATTTTTTAAATGTTGTGCATACATACCCCTCAATAGGAAACACAGATGCTTAGTTTTCACAAGATTAAGTTTCTTATTAACTACAAGTTAACTGGTTCAAAAAATCAATACCAATATGCTGCCAAACATGTCTGTTCTTGTAATACCTGCTTTATAAGAGAATGTATTGGGACAATTTATTTTTTTTATTCGTTTAGAAACATAGGATGTTTTCTTAGTGTGGTGACAGAACACCATACTAAAACTGGGAAGACTTTTATCAACAATGTGCTCACTGATGTATCAATAAAAATAGGAATTTTGTGTAAAATCACTTGAAGAATTTGACATTCTATCTAATTCTCATGAAGAGTCATTGTGTCTTGAATGTATTTTATTATTATTGCAAGTACTGCTTTACCATTGACTTTATCATTATCATTACGACTTTGTTCCATTTAGAATTGCTTTGTATATGAAACTGAAACTGTCAAAGAGACTAGAATATTTTACCCTATACTAAATACGATTTTGAAACATAAGAGCAGAAAATTACATAGTAAATTGATTTATCACTTGTCTGTTTTTCAGGACTAAATGTGATAGTAAATTTCTTATGTTGTCTGTTACTCTATTTTTCATCAGGTTTTACTGGTCAATTCTGTGAAGCAGATGTTGCTGCCTGCCTATCACAGCCATGTGGAGCCTCCAGCATCTGTAAAGAGACATTGGATGGCTATCTTTGTTTCTGTGCACCTGGCTTTATAGGTGGGTTCAAAGTGGTGTTGTTTAACATGTTTAAGTTAGTCCTAAACCGGAGAAAAGAAGGTTATTCAAAAGTAGCAATAGATATGATTTAGCAGTGTGCCTCTGATTCAGGCAGAAAAAAATTTTATTTCCTGACACACAAAATTACTTGCCTGTGTAAGAGTACTCAGCTGTAAAAAATACTGACTACAAGGGACTATTTCCACTCCAGTAATTATTTATACTATTTTAGATATGGTGTCTGTCTTGCATTGATGTGATTTGAACTCACAGCCATATGCAAGTTGGCCTTAATTTATCTTCTTCGTGCTCTCTGTAATAAAAAGTCTGCAGTAACAAGGGCGTCAGCTGCCCAATGTACATCCAAGATCCTGAGCAGGTTTAACTACTCATTTTTAAATATACACTGCATGTCATTGTCATTAATTTCACTAGATTAAAATTAGTTTGGCTATGTCAGCATACTGTCATGGTAATTCCAGATTACAGTGTAAAAAAAAAAATCTTTCTAGATATAGAGACATATATTTTTGATCAGCTATATGACGAAATAATCAAGGGCAGTAGGAATTCCCTGAGTGGCAGATCAGCCCTGTAACCCAGATGCATCCTGTCTAACACCAGGGACTTGGACAGGGCTCTTAAAACAGTAGTAAGATGACACTACACTCTCTCTCAATAGTTAAGGAGGACACAGACAACCAGAGGAATTCAGATCCTGAGTAGACTCCATACCTCTTAACTTTTTGCTCCACATTGTAGGTATCCATTTAGGTGAAATAATCTGTAATTTAATAGCTGTAATATTTATGTCTTTAATGTAATGAAATGCTATAACCTGTTTCTATGGTTGGTTTATTATTATCATTGTACATAAAATAAAATTGTATTGTGATAATTCTTTGTGAGGTCTTATTTTATTGAAATGTTCATTTAAATTCTTATGCTGTATCTAAATAACAGTGGATTGGTATTTTTATTGTATACTTTTTCTATGGCCAAACAAAAACTTGAAAGCCCCTCTGAAGCAGTCGGGAGGTTTCTACCTATCTTTTAGGCATAAGTAATAATAAATTTGATGCCATTATTAGCTGTTTGGATAATTCGTATACAAAAAGCAAATACTTTCTCAGCTTTTTCCTACCTCAAAGACCAGAAAAAAATATTAGATACAAAATAGTAGTATGGCCAGTCTTCGTGAGAGAAGATTTGGGAAAGGTCATTAACCCTTCGAGCCTGCGCAGTGGATTTTTTTAGGTGAGAC